AGGAAGCCACTGTCCCTGTTCAATCCATTGCTGAGGGACTTCAGTTTATGGATGAATTCCAATTCTGTTGTTTCTCTCTCCAATCTATCTTTGTAGTTCTTTTGTTCAAGGGTTGCTGTTCTGAGGTCTGAGATGGAATGCCCAGGGAGATTGAAATGTTCAGCCACTGATTTTTGTGTATTCTAATTCCTAATGTCTGATTTATGTCAATTTATCCTCTGGCTTAGGGACTGGACTGTTTGCCCAATGTAGAGTGCTGATGGGCACTGATGACATAGTATGGCATAAATTACACTGGAGGATGAGCATGTGATGGTCCCCCTAATATTGTGAGAGATGCTACTAGACAGGGGTAGGCAAACTGTCCCCTTTAAGGGCCGAGGGACTTCAGCTCCCAGAAGCCTTAGCCATGTTGGCCAATAGTCTGGGATGTTGGCCAATAGTCTGGGATACTGGGAGCTGAAGTCCCTCGGCCCTTAAAGGGGACAGTTTGCCTACCCCTGCTATTAGGTCTTGTGATGCCATTAGTTTAACTCATGTGTAGCAAGTGTACCTATTTTACCAATTTATTTCTATCTAGAGGCTTTACACTGTGACCTGAATCAGGACATATTTTCAACATGAAATTCTGAGCCTTCCATTCAAAAAGCAGCAGCAGTCTAGGCCCTCTAATACTGGCACATGGCAGGATATCAAGCACTTAGGACAGGAGTTGGCAACCTTTCCCCTTTAAGGGCCGAGGGACTTCAGCTCCCAGAATCCCAGGAGCTATTGGCCAACATGGCTGAGGCTTCTGGGAGCTGAAGTCCCTCGGCCCTTAAAGGGGAAAGGTTGCCTACCCCTGCTCTAAACAGACACAATCTATACTGAGCTTCAGCTAGTGGATCTCAAGATTCTAGTAAAAACTAAGAAACAAAGGGGACCTGTACACTTCAGTGAGATGGGAGTTACACTACTAGGATAGCAGGTGATAGGATTCTTACATGGTTTCCATCAATATTTTCTTTTCACTTTCCCTGACTGTTTTACACTTTCCCTGAACACTATCAAAAAATGAACCCAGGTTTAAAAAATAGCATGCATTACAATCAATAGATTCAACACTACAAAAACACTGAAATGTATTTTTATCAATATAAAAGCTTCAATATGAGCTCCTCTTAAAACTTGACTGTTAAATGAAGAAACAAATACGATTTGAAATGGCATTAACAAAAACACCCAAGAGTGAAATGTCAATACAAATAATACCTATGTAAAGATAAACGGCAGAACATGTTTGTTTTGGAAGATATAATTTCCTCTCTGTACAATGAGTCTAAACTCCTGTTTTAAAAAGTACAAAATTAGCATTTCAAAATATTTGTTTCATTTTTAAACATAGTTCTGCATATACAGTCTAACTTCCATACCAATCATATACTCACTGATGCAACTATAGTAGTACTGTGGTATCCCTTCAAAATCAGGATGTGTGGGAATCTTTGGGGGTGCAGAAACAGCCTTGAATGCTGCAAGTGACCCTCAGGCATTATACTCACTCCTAGTCTAAAAATATTTGAGAACTTACATGCAAAAGCAGCAAAATATTGGCCACACAAACTGTAGGGATTGCATGGAACTTTGGACGCAATCTGGAATGCAATGCTTGAGATGGAAGGAGAGGTGCATCAAGAAGAGGGTCATCATCGGTACTCTGAGTTATTTCCAGAGACCCCTGAAACAGATTAAGTGATGTTTATTAAATCAGAAAGCAAAATCATTTGGTACTTGAAGAATGAAACAGCCTGAACTGGCCATATTGGCATATACAAATAGTTATCCACCTGCAAAAGCAAATTCCTCCAATAGGCACATTTTAAACATACTTTCAGTATAATTCTATGCATTCTCACTTGAAAGGAAAAACCAGTGATGTATTCAGGTCTTTTACTCCAAGTCTCAAGTCCTTGCAAGAGAGTCTCAAGTCTGGGAGCCAACTTTATCAGGAAAAAAAAGGAGGTGGTGGTGATGTGGGGGGGGGGACTTCAAGGTAGAAGGATCCTTTTGAAAGCTTGCTTTCTGATGATCTGCTCTTTTGATGCTGTATTACCAGAATCCATTTGTTTGATGTGTGGTCTACTCTTCTTGACAAATGTATGCACAAATATAAGTATGAATACTTGTACAGTATTATAAGCACATGATGACATTATAGGTACAATTATTACTACAGTATACATTGCATAAACTGAACAAAAAGAAGGTGCTTTGCACAACCTTCAGCCTGTGTACTGTATACTGTAGAAGTTGTTTATAGTGTTATCGTGTGTTTATAATATATCACTGTGCAGGTATTTGTACTTGTATTTGTGTTTATATTTTATTACTGTGAAATATACACTAATATGGGTTCTACATTTCAATGATTTCTGCTTTTTGACAGTAATGTAGTCCCTAATCTGTCAAGTAACTTGTCAAATATGCATTTTTAAATTACACAACTTTGCCATTCATAGTATATGCAGAAGCAAAAGATTCTAATTTGGAGCTAGACAGGCATTAGAAAAACAGCTTCCACATTACACAATGACAGTCCCAACCAAAGTAGGCCCACTGGATCAACAGGAACTTAGTAAGTTACATACATAAATTCTATTGATTCGGTGAGTCTGTTCTAGTTGGGAGTAAAATGACTTAGGCCTAAGTACTTTTCCAAGCAACTTAATACTTGTTTTCAAGCATCAAGTAAAAGTAGTCTCAGAAATCATGTTTGTCCATGGAACACAAACAATTCAATGTTTTTGAACACTGTCAGCCTTGTTTATATAGAAATTCCTTTTTGCATTCTCTACTTTACAATAGCCTCTGCAAG